GTGTCTCAGAGCACTGAAGGTGATGCCACGGCTGGATACCATTGTCCCTGTCCCTGTTGTGCCGGGCTGTGCTCCCAGAATGTGCCTCTGACTGTGGCTGGGTCTGTTCTCCTCCAAATGTTGCATTCCCCATCCCGCTGCCCGGGGAGGGCTGTGCTGGTGGGGCACTGGCTGACCCCCGTCTTCTACCCTCTCTCTCCTCTCCCTCTCCAGGTTCCCTGGTCCAGGCAGCGCTGACTCAGCAGCCCTCGGTGTCAGCGAACCTGGGACAAACCGTCCAGATCACCTGCTCCGGGCTTTACAGTGGCAGCAGCAATGTTGCGTGGTTCCAGCAGAAGGTTCCTGGCACTGCCCCTGTCACTGTGATCTATGAGAGCACAAAGAGACCCTCAGGCATCCCTTCGCGATTCTCTGGAACCTCTTCTGGCACCACGGGCACGTTAACCATCACTGGGGTCCAAGCCGAAGACGAGGCTGTCTATTACTGTGGTGGCAGCGACGGCAGCAGTGATTGTCAGGGTCATGGTGATTCTGAGATTAGTTTTTGCCCTGCTGTTCATTGCTATGCCTCCCCTTCATGGGGAAGAGCTGCAGAGGGTGGGCAGTTGGTGCCTTTTTGCATTTGTGCCTGTTCTGACTCTACCTTTGCAGCATTTTGTCTGCATTCCCTCTGGATCTCCTGCTCCAGGATAAACAACTACTGTGGCTGGTTCCAGCATAAAATATGTGGCTGGGCCCTTGTTGCTGGGATATATTTAAGCAACAAGAGACCCTCGAGTGTCCCTTTGTAATTCTCCTAACCCTAGTTTGGCTCCACGGACACGTTAACCACCACTGGGGTCCAAGCCGAGGGCGAGGTTGTCTATTACTGTAGTGGCTACGACAGCAGTGGCAGGTACGGCTTCTGATGACAATGATTAATAGGAAGTGGCACACAGACTGGAAAGTCAGGGGAAGGTTTTCAGCCCCCCTCATGGCCGAAAAGATCTGTGCCTATGCGGCTGAGGTAGATCCCATCCCCTCTGCATGACCATGGCTGTGATTGTCCTCACTTTTGCGTTCCAGAGCACTGAAGGTGACTATGGCTGGAGACCATTGTTCCTGTCCTTACAAAGTTCACAGTGTGGCCTTCTTGCCCGTCCCATTGCCTCTTGCTACTGATGACCATGTCCTCCTGCTACTGCCAGAGCTGCCTCTGTGCTGGGACGTGTTGTGCTGGGCTCAGCTCCCAGACTCTGCCTGTGATGTCTCCAGGTCCATACTCCTCCAATTGTGGCATTCCCATTCATGCTGCCCGGGGAGGGCTGTGCTGGTGGGGCACAGGCTGACCCCCGTCTTCTCCCCTCTCTCTCCTCTCCCTCTCCAGGTTCCCTGGTCCAGGCAGCGCTGACTCAGCCGCCCTCGGTGTCAGCGAACCTGGGACAAACCGTCCAGATCACCTGCTCTGGGCTTAGCAGCAGCTACAGCGATCGTGTTGCGTGGTTCCAGCAGAAGGTTCCTGGCACTGCCCCTGTCACGGTGATCTATAATGGCAACAGCAGACCCTCAGACATCCCTTTGCGATTCTCTGGCTCCAAATCCAGCACCACGAACGCTCTAAACCATCACTGGGGTCCAAGCTGAGGACGAGGCTGTCTATTACTGTGGTGCCATCGACAGCAGTGGCAGCTACGGTGTCTGGGGACAATGAGTAATAGTAAGTGAGACACACACTCTAAAATCAGAGGAAGGTTTTCAGCCCTTCTCACTCCTATTCGATCAGAGTTGTGCATGTGGGGCTGAGGTAGTTCCTGTCTCCGCTGCATAGCCATGGCTGTGAATTTCCTCGCTTTTGCATTGCGGAGCACTGAAGGTGACGATGGCTGGAGACCATTATTCCTGCCCTTACAAAGTTCACAGTGTGGCCTTCTTGCCCGTCCCATTGCCTCTTGCTACTGATGACCATGTCCTCCTGCTACTGCCAGAGCTGCCTCTGTGCTGGGACGTGTTGTGCTGGGCTCAGCTCCCAGACTCTGCCTGTGATGTCTCCAGGTCCATACTCCTCCAATTGTGGCATTCCCATTCATGCTGCCCGGGGAGGGCTGTCATCTTCTCCCCTCTCTCTCCTCTCCCTCTTCCAGGCAGCGCTGCCTCAGCCGCCCTCGGTGTCAGCGAACCTGCGACAAACCGTCCAGATCACCTGCTCTGGGCTTAGCAGCAGCTATGGTGTTGGGTGGTTCCAACAGAAGGTTCCTGGCACTG